AATAACTAAATGGGGAAGAAACAAAGAGTGTAGGCTCACCGTTGGGGGGTATGAGGGGTAATATTGTGGGGTCAAGAGGGAAAATGAGGGGGGTAACTCGTACTCACGATGGGACTTCACTCTGGCGAACACGTGGAATTCCACCTGCGCCTTGCACTCCTTCAAACTACCAGGGCGTTTTCCTCGAGAGCCTCCTTTCCACCTCGGGGTTTCCTGGGCACCAATACTAGAGCTGGGATGAGCTCGATGTATCAAAAGTCCTCTTTTTATCCGCCAAATAACTTCCGGGCGAATTTCACTGTATTCACAATTACTACTTTCGGGGCACGTGGCGACTCACGGGGCAGCTAATGCACGAGTGACGGTCTCTTCTTTTCCTTCGCGATTCGTGGGGGTTCGTCAGGTGTCGATGTCCTTCGGGTTTTAATTCGGGAGCAATCGGGGCCAATCAGCACGGGTGAGTGGTGACGATGACCACAATCCAGGGATGTCTCGCAAGGGATTATTGCTGGTGGTGAATGTTCGGGGGTCTAGTATGGGGAATTTCCAGGAGGCGATGGCTTCTCCAATTGATCGGGTGGGGCCGGAACTGATGTCTTCCTTCGGCTGATGTCTTCGTGATGTCCAGGGGCAGGGGCAGAGGGGCGATGAGGGGAAAAGTGAGGGAAGGGGTATCCAACGGTGGCGGGATTTACATTTTAGGGGGCAGTGTGTAGTGGGAAAAAATATGTAGAAAAATAATAAAAAATAAATGAATATGCCTCGTCACAGGACATTAAAAAACTGATATCTTCGGTCGAGCATTGCCCAGAACTATGGGTAACATGGGAGACGATAATGAGCTTCCACACGAAGACAATGCAGATGTGGGGGGTCATTGGGATGGCACAATTCCCTCCTTTGCCAGGTTATTACGAAAGCCCTGAATTCAACTTTTTTTTGGGAATTGTAAAACGATTTAACGATAAATTGACTCAGCTAATCGTCAAGTTTTCGAGTAATATCACTGAATTAATGAGAGATCGAGGATTCTCATGGAGACTTCTTTTTTCGTGCAGCTTGGATTTTTATTTACAAAAAATGTCTCCCAAAAAAATTCGCATCTCCCTCTGAGCCCGAGATATCTTTCGAAAATCCTTCACTACAGAAATTTTTCCATCCATTTATTCTTTTTTCGTTCGTTCACAGCGTATGATGCATGGAGAACATTCGCTGAACTTGCTGAGAAGTTCGAGATCCTCTACAAATCAACAAAAAAGGCTAAAGAGGACTTTGAGTTTGTTTACGTGCCCCAGTGGTTGTTCTTTGGCGATTTGATGTTTTTGGCACTCAAAATTGAGAAGAACGTCGTAGATTGCGAGCAACCCTAGATCAGAACACGTCTAATGCTCCTACGCTGAATTGAATTCTCTTTTACATACAGTTTTCATTAATTTGATTTCCATATTAATTTGTCAATTTAATGTAACACGTTTACTTGAATAAATAACGAAAATACCATGAAAATATGTTTGTAATGTCTCTTTTTTTTTACTGATTCTTGACTGTTATGAAACACATGACTATAATTTTTTAGGACCTGTAAACACCCGAACTGGACCTGTGGACATCCCCAAAGCTTTGACCCGCGAAACCGCTGCGTTTGTTTATTTTGCCAATGATTTGTTTGACTCCATTAACGGCCACCTTCCTGCATCCCCACAAGCTCCCTATCGATCTATAATCACGAGTGAAAGCCCACATATTCAGTTTTGGGCGAAAGCTAGAGCTAAACTCCGCAAAATGCAGTTCGTTTCCCCGAGTTCATTGAAGAAAGTATCGGTGCCAACGCTGAGGAACTGGATCGTCACTCTTAGCTCATTTGAAATGCTGTGGAAACTTCTTGAATAGAAAGGTTTCTCACAGTTAATTCCAAGACACGTCAACCAGGATCCACTCGAAAACCAGTTTGGGGAATATCGAGCTTATGGGGGGCGTAATGTTACCTCAAGTTGCTGGCAGTTTGGAGGAACGTTCAAATCCTCTTTGATTTCTGAACTGAGCTGTACGGAATCGATTGGGTCCAATTGTGAGACTATTTGTGATGGCCATCGTCTCTTTACATTGGAAGATTGTCTCAATGACGAGGATGATGGTACTTTATCAATGTAAATTGACGAAGAGTTTGATAATACCGTAAACCCGAAGAAGAGAAAGAGTACGAGGATCCTAACGATTCTGTCTCCGGCAATACTGCTCTGATTTCTGCTGCAGATCACATCGTCAAACAATTATTGAAAACGGGAGCTATCAACAATTGTGGTTGCCAAATATCAATTGTCCGCCCAAAAGTGAATCAGAATCACGATTCGCTTTTCGATAAAACGTTCCTCGAAGTTACTAAGGCATTACATAAACTAATGCCTCTTGTCTGCCACCGTCGAAAAATCAGTGGAGTTCTACTGGAGAGGGTGAAGAATACTGTACCTAAAGATTGGGTATTATGTCTGGAACATCGAGATGATTTGCACGAAAAAGCTATAAAGCTTATCATTCAAGAGTTCATTGCTCAATGGTGTACGACAATGAACAGACACTTGACCAGAAAATCCTCACACATGAAAGGTTCTCTCTTCGACCAAGCCCGAGAAAAAAGTGAAAAATACACCACGAAGAACAGACAAACAGACAAAAATTAATTAGGCCCCCACAATATGTTATTACCTATTATATTTTCTATACATTGTTTGTGTATGTATGAATGAGTGTAACATTAGTTGTGATGATTAATTGTATTATTGGTACTGTGTTTATAATGCAAATAATAAAACATTCATTTTTTCCTCAAGTATCATCGATTTTTTGAAATACTCAGTTCTTCTAGAATTAATTCTACCATCTCAGAGTCATTCCTGAAATAACGACTGACGTTAACTTTTTTCTATTTAATAAAAAAATTGTCCTGGTTACAATTCAGATTCAAACACGTGGGCATTAAGATACCTGAATCTGTTTGCGCAGGCGCAAAGCGACAGTGCTGCTAACGTCGTCTCCATTTAGAAGCTTTGACAGCGTTCACCAATTTCTGGTTAGTCGAATGCCCCTGAATTTTCTAGTGCCGAAGGGGAAATTTTCATATGCTGGCACATTGCGCCTCAATTCTAGTGCAGCACTAGAATTTTTTCCGGAATTTCCCCATAAAAATTCTCTGACTTTTCTCTCCGTGCACTCAGACATGCTAGTCCCGAGGTACTAATGTCAAAAAACTCCGTAAATTGAGACGGTCCAAAAAAAGAGGTATAGGGCTTGAAAAGAGGGTAATACTCCATTATTTCAACTGAGATGAAAAATATGTTAAAGGAGTGCTAAAGCGGCTCGTTTTTTTCATCCGAACTTTTTTTTCTTGCCTCGTGAAATTGTGTGGGAACTACTCTAGAAGAATTAATATAAAAGTAGAAAAGTTTCAGTTTGACCATAGCGAAATTTGTCTTAAAAAAATGAAAACTTCCTCCTTTGGAATCTAATTTCATGGAATCTGTCACGGAATAGTATATTTCTAACCTGGGGAGGTAAAATAAAGAAGTCGTGCCCACGTGCGGAATTACCGGGCCCGCACGTGGGTACACAATAAAAAACAATTCGGTGTTACTGTCTCTGGTGCGAGGGGTTAAATTTTCCCCATGTTAAAATCAACTCTCTCGCCCGGAGCCAAATTTTGGTACGGAGTCAATTTTTACTTTTCATACCGAACTGTGTTGATTAATATATTCATTTTGACACCATCGCAGAGTCAATTTTCACTCCACTCGCTGTATTGCACTCGGAAAAGAATTCACTTCGTACATTCGCACCGAAAAACGATGTGGACTTATTTTCGCTCCGTTTGGTGTGGACTCAGAGTCGAAATTCACCCTGGATTTTTTACTGTGTATAAGGGTGTATTGTTTTACTTCCCGTGGGTAGAACTATATTTTTCGCCCCGGCGTAAGCACAAAAAAAATCTGAATTGAGTATATTTTACACCAGAATCAAGTATATGGATAAACTTGATACAAGTATATTTTATACTGGAATGAGCGCTGGGTATTTCAATTCGAGAATGATTCTTTTGTGTCAGGCCGGGTTATACCAAGCCCTCTCAAGTGTAATATGAGGGTCAGATATTAAGTGTTAGAATATAAGAGTTAAAAAGGAGAGGTTAAAAAAAGCGGGTCAGAATATAAAAGTAACAAGAGTGGGTGAAAATTCAAAATTTTTTATATAAAAAATGTATGTATCAATTTTTTCCCGACATTTAGTATGCATGTGAAAGCAAGTTGAAAATAAATTGGGGAAGAAATGGATTGCTCATATTTCTCTTCCTAATTGTATTTAGATCTAAAAATGTAGGATGAACTTCCTTTCTATACTACTGATAGGTGGGGAAATGGTGGGAACGATTGAAATTTCGAAGCCGAATGATCAATTGGTAATTGATGAGATGTGCCATATATTATTCTTGATTAACGTGTTTAGCCCTTATATTTTTAGACTTTGTTTGCCTTACCCACCTTTTTTACTTTTATATTTTGACCCTTATATTCTGACACTTAGACAGACCAAAGGTGATGACCATTTTATTACACTTGAAAGAGCTTGGTACGACCCGGTCTGATACGAAAGAATCATCCTCGAATTGAAATACCTATCCCCTTTTCGAATATAAAATATACTCGAATATACTTGAACCACGTATATTTTATTCTCAGTTCAGGTATATTTTTTTTCTATGTATCGTCATCTAATCAGTCATTAAAATCACTTTATTTATCACGAAAACTACCGAGTAGGGGATTTGCCTTTTTCAGTATTGCATACTTCACTGCAATATATGAAACAAGCATCATTATAAATTGTGAGAAAAATGAGTCTCAAGCCAAACGTCAATTTTTTTGAAACTTCATTTATTCACTTGGCCATTCCATAGATAAAAACACAGTTACAAGAGGCATCGATTGTCTTGCAAAGTGAAGAATCAGCCATAACGTTTGCTGAGCCTCTAAGTGTGCAGTTCTTTTGAGTCTGAAGCCGAAAAATTTCAATATCAATGTTGTTGAAAATATTTTCCACTGCTCTCCTTTGCGGAATAGCAAACTCGCAAGGTAATGCCTGGAAGCAAAAAATATTGGGATACGATTAATGATAATACGCTTCATTACAAATTCCAGGTTTTTCGTACCAAGATCCCACAACGTGGGGACTGCAGTACCCAACTTGCAATGGCAACAATCAATCACCTGTGGATATTCCGTGGGGATTTGGCGATTCTGTGATCGTACAGCCTGGAGAGCTTCAGTGGAATAACTATGGAAATATTCCAGATTCGATGAGAATAGTCAACAATGGTCATACAGGTAAGTACTATATCCCATATAGATAGCTATCAAACCAAGAGAGGAAATAAAAATTTCTAACAACAAAAAGAAATTTCTACTTCTATCAAATCTGGTTTGGTCACATATCTAGTTGCTCAATGAACAAACTTCGTTATGATTAAAATAAATGTTGACTTATAGAGTTAATAGAAGTCCTCACAGATTAAATTTTTGCTGTCACATAAAGATTTTTTTCTGATGTTTATTAGAAAAATAAATGTATTCGAAGATATATTCGAAAATATTCGAAAATAAACAGGAAATTTTCTATTAGTGTAGTGTAGGTTTCATGACAGCAGTCTCATTGCAGAATATGACTAAGTTTATTTAAACAAAATGTTCTAATATTGACAATATCCAAGGAAAATATTCTAATAGATCAAAAATATTCACACAATCCACACTCTTCAACACCACTAGTCGACTCCTCGAAATTTAGCTATCTACTGACTCATTCACTCTTCCACTCATCTCTAAATACTGAAAGATCTCTGGTCCTATCTTCATCCCTTTCATTCCACTTTACACTCATCTCTTCTTAATCTATTTTCACTCAGTCCATCAATCTTTTTATTCTTGAACATACTTAATGACGCATCCACCCTCAGACCCGAAACGTCCGTACATTATTATTTTATAACCAAGCCATCGGTCTCTCAACTACGCCGCGTACTTCTCCGATATCTGAACAGTCCCCAATTGTTCCAGAGCTCGACTAAAATTTCCATTTATTATTTTATTACTTCAATCCCGAATATTTCTAGACTTGCACGTTTTCTGACGGGACGTTTCCCACCTCATCTTTTCCACGTTTTTGTCCAACAGACACTCACTCAATAATTGAGAATATGCATTCCACATTAGTAACTACAGACATGGGATTTTTCTGGATGCATAACTATAATAATTGGCAATTTGATTTACGTATCTGATCTACTGTAACGTGGCCATTTTTTGCTGTGACAACAACGGACGTAGACTCGCCCTTGTTTCTTGGTAAATTTAAAAACTGAGTAAACTTGAAGTTGTGGACGCTAGTTGCTCCTGTTTCAATGGGAACAACAATCTGAAAATTATGTAGAAACTTCAAACGAAAGGGCCAAGGGAATGGTTCGCATTATTTAGAGGCTCGGTTGTAGAGAGAGCTGTAGTTTCAAGTGGAAAAAGGGTTCTTGGGTCCTTATCTCAACAACAAAATACGAAAACCAAAATCTTATGCTGAAATACAGGGGTCCATATTTTCTCGAAATTTACAAGGAAATATATTCTCGAGATCACTATAAAAGGAAATGTTTAAAAAAATCAAATGAGTTACCTAATATTCGAATCAATGAAAAAGGAATAAATGGTACATGACTTACCCTAAGAGGGAAACGAAACAATTACATAATGCTAACAAAAATAATAACATAATTGACTGGATGGGTACAGAGTAGACACAGAACCAGAGAGATAAAGCCAGAAAGCCAGCCAAATTGATGTTCCCTAGACTTCAATTCCTATAAAATGACCGGACATGTGATAGTAGGTGGAAAAAAATAATTCCGAAAAATCCTACCCACGGCAATAACTCCAAATTCCGCATAAAAAATTATCCCTAATTCACTAAATAAATTCCCACTAAGCCGACTCACGGAAAATATACTTGAATTTCTAATACAATTACTGGGATTAGGCACTCGTGGGTAATTGTCCTTTAGTTCCTACTTGCCAGAACAGCAAAAAATTCCTATTTTCAACCTTACCAGCTTGGCGGAAATATTTTAATCTATTAAAACAAATCATTAAGGAGAATACTACTGAAATTTCAAAGTCGTGTGATAAAAAAATGGCTGCCCTGAGATTTTTCTCACATGTGTAGTCACTCAAAAAATACATTTTGTTCCACCTACGTCCATTCAATATGGCGGGGAATTTTAAAGAACCGAAAAAATCAATTTTGCCCTTTGAAAGTCTACAAAGTGAGTGAAAATGATCGGATCATCTTGAAATTGACTTACAATATTTAGAACACTACAATAAACAAAGCTTCACACAGAAAGTTTAATCCGATGATTTGTGGATTTTAGATTATCCAGAAGTAAGGAAAAACTGATCGAATCAAAGCAAATTGACTAATTCGATTTTTTTTGTATTTTGTGATTTTTCCTGTTTCCGCCTTATCAAAAATCTAAAAATCATCCATATTAGAAGTCATGGGCTTCGGGAAACAGAAAAATAACTTTGCACCAAAACACAAGGCTTCAGTTGGAGTTGAGTATCCCCCATCAGAAACTCTATTTAAAAAATATATAATTTTTTTGTGGCGTATTGGGATCGATCAATACGTCGATTTAGTTGTAATAATTTTAAATCTTCGAGTGTCTGAATGTTGGGAACGAGAAATATGATTTCTCTCTCCTGTCATCCAGACACGGCTCAGCAATCCCACGGTGTCATTTGGACATCTTGGTGAGCAGTCCCACGGTTAAGCAGACTCCAGTTCAGGTCTACTGAACTGTTTGACTGTTTTAGTTCATGTCAATGACGATATAGGGTAGTATTGATAAAGCTAACCGTGAGACTGCTCAACTCAGCAAACTGGGGCTTTGACGACTTTCGAGGACTCTGAATGAGGCAGAGTACGATCAGGAGCAGAACCGAGCGGATCTCTGAGCTCGGGCCTTAAGCCGTACAATCGAGTGAAAGTCCCAAGTTTGAGTCGCGGACGATTTAGCAACGCGTATACCAACCAATGTCGAACCAATAGCATGTACCATTATCGGTTTTAATATATCGTTCCTTTAAGTATTAAGCACGCCAGTGGTTATTCAGAACTTCACCCTTCATATCCTTGGTCCAATATCCCTCCGAGTGAGCGAATCCCCCGTGAACTCACCGCCGAAGCTAGTTGAGGTCGGAGTGACAACTAAACCAGATACAAAGGATTATATACACAGAAGATTCTTAATTGAGTTTAACTCAAGGGTTAAACTCAATAAATAGACTAAATTTCTTAAGAATTAAACGATTATTTTGCTCACTTCAATAACCTGATTCAAATTTCTTTCTGAAACTTCATTTATTCCAGTGTTCTGAACATTGTGTATAAATTTCAAGTCGATCAGATCATTTTTGCTTACTTTGTAGACTTTCAAAGGGCAAAATAGTTTTTTTCATTTTTTGAAATTCGCCACCATATTGGATAGGCGTATTATTCATGATCTTGCACTATAACGGCGTAGGTTAACCGCCAGACCAATAGGTACGGCGTGTTTCAACGCAAAATTATCCTATAAAATAATTGCTAGCAAACAAATAACTTAATCAGCATAAAATGTGAATTATGTGGTTGTACAACTGAAGAAACTAAGCGTAATCGTACGCAGACTAAATTAAAAAACGGAACACGAGATATCAGATGCTCACACCATAATTAGCATAATTTCCAAATATGATGCGTAATAACTGGAAGCAATAGGCAAATCGTACACTTATCGAATAATTAACGCAATGATCGAGGGGGAATATGGCAGGGAAATCAATTAATCACTCAAAACGAAATAAGTCGCATAAGCGAAAGCATCGGAACTTGGAGCAGCAGTAGGCTCACTATGAGCATCGCCCAGAAGCAGGAGAATAAGTTCGAGGGGTAGCCGTCGGCTGACGACTCCCAACGAACTGACTTTAACGAGAAAAACTCCCGAATTTATCACTTTCTGAGAGATGTGAATTGGAAACAGTGAAAGTCTAACGCGTAAGGTAGAACTAGAATTCTATACTCGTCACATGACGGCACGTAGAGGGTAGTGATGCCGCGATAATCGATAAATTCGAGTCGATACGACAACGAACAGACGATAATCGAGACGATAAATTGTTGTTTATCGTATCGTCGAAATGATACGATATCGATCACGCGATGATGGACGATAATCGATAATATCGACCAGAAATTTGTAATTTTCATTGGGACATGCCTGGGACATGGGGCTTTTTCAGTTTTTCTCATAAGGAAGACTGTAGTGAAATGAGAATTAAGACATTTAGCATGAGGATGGAATCTTGGGTGAGGAATTATTCAGGTCAAACTGAGAGTCAAGTATGAGTCAAGTCGTGTAGGTAGAATTATTGCTGTATTTTTTTTTAACGTTATTTTACATCGCTTCAACCCGATTAGGGTATACTGCGATGATGATCAAGACTTTGAATGGTTAGATCGCACCATTCTACCCGGCCGGGTTTTGAACTCGGAACCTTTCGTATGTGAGGCAACGAACTTACCCACTGCGCCAAGCCACCGGGCTTATTGCTGTATAATGATCAAATTGTACGTTCCAAGAACTTCAAACGAAAGAAATTTATTCGTGCAAATATAGTAGGTATATTTTACATCGACGAATGTTTCCTATCAACGAATACAATATACGAATCTGCTCTCCTCATAAACTCTAATGACTTTTTGTGGAGAAGTCTCTCGCTGAATATTTTTCTTCATCAGTTTCGTTTCTCCTCTCTTTTCTTTTTCATTTCATTTTTGAATGTTGGTGCCAAATTGGATGTAAACCAAGAATTCAAGCATAGTTGGATCTCAATATTCTTATTGCTCAGATGATTTCGATACTTTCTCAGCAACAATCCTGGCTTACTGAACAAACGTTCTGATGGAACACTAATTCAAGAATGGCTAGGAGGTCACGAACCATTTTAGCGAGTCGAGGAAATTCCTGCTGATGTACATTCCACCATTTTAAAATGTCTACATTCCAATTGGCTCGATCCGATCGCAAGTAAGAATCCAGTTCTTCCTTCCAGCCTTCCTGACGTCTGCTAGACCCCAGATGGTCTTATCAAAAGTTTCCATTTTATGTCGAGGGTCTAAGATGAGCACAGCACAGTATATCCAATTGGATTTATAGTAATACTTGAGGATCTTGTCACGACCAGATTAAAAGGCCTCGATGAGTAATTCATCTGTTGGAGTTCTCTCAGTTTTCTGA